TGTTACTCCATTTTTTTTTTTTTTTTTTTTTTTTTTTACTGAAGGCGTTGCGTTCACAATGTTAACAAAAACGTACTAGGATTTTCCATAAAAAAACTTGGTTGATTAAACGTTTCTTTTTTAATTTCAACTGCAGACATTAATTTCATGGAAAATAAATTACTCTAATGCATTCTTTTGAATGATCGTGTATCTTGAATGAGGCCACATTATTTTGATGTGATGAAACACATCCCTCATAAAAAAAAATTTAAAAAAAGATTGAATGCTGCAGATACAATTTTATTTATGCACTAAAAATGAGAAAATTATGTATCATGCGGTGATCAATAAAGATGGAAAAAAACTACACTAGCAATGCATCAAACCGTAAATATTGATATTATAGCTGTCGCAACAAATCCCTGCGATGTATAACCCACAAAATGTCATAATCTACTAAATTAAGTAGAAACATCCAAGTGAGGTCAGACGTGTCATTGACGAAAGGTAAAATTAAAGTGACCTAACCGGATTTGTATTCAAATAAACCTGTAATCATCAATACACATAATAAAAGAATAAATATACATTGTCATTCGTATGAAAAATGAAAATTCCAATCAGTACAGAAGCAAATTTATCCCAGTATCGATAAATGGCAAACAAGTTTGAAGTAAAAATTCTACTTCAATCCAACAATAAATTCAATAGACTCACGAAAACCTCAATAACAAACGGACAGCGAGCCCCGTCACAACAGAGCTTGCACACTTTCATCATGTCAGAACCGCGTTGCCGGTCCATTCCAAAAGAAAGCGCTGGTCATTGTACACAAGCAACCTTTCAAGCCTCGGTTGTCAGGCTCTCTTTCCCTCCAGCACAAAGCTCAAAAGAAGTATACGCAACGCGCAAGCGCCGAGTACAGCGCAAAGCTCTACGCTGCTCCCTCAGCGTTTATTATCACGGGCAGGTCGCTTAGGGGTGTATGGATGCCGAAGCCCAGAGAAGGAAGCCAGGGAGGATGCATGACGCACCAAAGACGAGCAAAAAGTTGGCCGGGAAGAGGAAGCTGTACGTCTTCCCCCGACGACAAGACTCGCGCTCTGAATTATCACGCTGCATGCGCGTGTACACGCGAGTTATTACAACCGCGCTATTTAACCTTTCCTCCGCTGCTCTGAATACAGGATTGACTCCTTTTTTTTTTTTTTTTTTTTGCTGCTGCTGTTATTGCGGTGACACGGTGCTTTATTACGCATGCGCTTTTTTTTGGTTGCTCTTCCGGAGAGGGAAGGAAGCGCCCGTGTACCGCTTTAAGAGCTAAATGATTTAGTGCCCGCGTTTTTTTGTCACCCCGACAATGAATCGTATATAATTTGAGGAGGACCTTTTTTTTTGTTTCTTCCGCGCAGGGAGATAATGTAGGAGAAAAAACAAAACAAAGAGCAAAATCGTAGCAGGTGTGGATGATGAATCGGAAAGCCTCGGGTATAATGTATTGCGCGTGTGAGCGATAACATTGTTTGCTCCCGCGATTTTGGAGCCTAGAACAAATTACCCGGGGAAAACACGAAGGGCGGGAGCTCCATGAATAGCACTTTCCTTCCAGCGCGAGCAAACTTATGGCTGTGTATGCATCAGCGAATCGCTAACTTGAAAAGCATAGAACAACAGGGAGACGAGGAGGCGTGGGAGGAGTTTTCCCGGGAAAACTAAACTCGATTTTCAAAACTACGTTGCGAGTTCTTGTTCTCGTGGCACTTGGTACTTTCGAGGGAGTGGTGGGGCGTTAGCATTTTAAATTCAACAGATACCACGCGTTTCGTGAAATTTTAATGTTTATTGCTCTGTATCTGCTTGTTCTACTGCTATTTTGTGCCACTGTTTCTCTTTTCAAGGCGATTCCCAGGTAAATCTTTCGCTTCTTGCTTGATGCATTGGGGGAAGGAGATAAGTGACTTGCATTGTAGGTATAGTTGTTTATTTTCCTGTGTTTATCTCGTAAAGCTGTAGATGTTAATTGGCACCTCTTGATTATTATAACTGATTGAGCAACATAGGCTTGACGATTTTAAGATGCTGATGTTCTCATGAAGACGAAAAATGAAACATTTGTTCTCCTGAAAATATAAAAAAAACAAAAAACAAAAAAAAAACAAATTAGTTAACGATTAATATCGATTCGCGTCCTTCAATCGGTAGAGTGTAAGTCTTACAAGTTGATCGTACTTTTGTTTAAGACCCCAATATCAGTGATGATCTATAAAATTCCTTAAACACAATATATTCATGTCAAAATAGATTGAGTCCACGTTCAACTTCTTATTCCTTGAGACATGCTCAGCTTTTCTTTTGTTTTTTATGATAACGCAGTTAGAAAAACCTCCCTCTCAGCCTGCATTATAATACCCAATAGAGTAAAAAAGTACTGCTCAACTTGGATCACAATCAATAAACAATAAAACCCAAACCAGATGATGAAACAGTCAAAGAAAACTATATGCTCGCACGGGGTGAGGTTCCGTTGGTCGCGACATCATCCAGCCCAAGAGAGCCGGTCACGTTACGCGAGCGGACAGAAAAAGAAGAGCATCGTATCGACTAGTATCAGGTGTACGCCCTTTGCAAAAGCGTTGCGGGAGAAACCGAATATACGTAATCGTACAAAACAATTCTCCGAGAGGGGGGAGCTGAAAAATGCCAGTTACGCGGGCGCAGACGTCCCTCGGAGTGTATGATTGAAAGCAATGTGCAGGGAGGGAGCAGGGGAGAGAGAGAACAAAAAACGGAGACTCCCCGAGGGACACTTGTACACACGCGCGTCGAAGCGAGAAAGGGAGCGTCTCTTGGGGGGATGACGTGTTTTTCGCGCATGTACCTACATATGTATGCCCTCTCCCTTTCTCCACACGCGCCACAGCTGGCTCCGAGGTAGCAGTGTCGGATGCCTCCCAGTCAAGAGGCATCTGGGTCACAGGAGCGCCCGGAGGAGGAGGCGCACGAGCCGATTAGAATCTGAGGGGATGTGGGTCGAGCGGAAATGACCGATGCTCGTGTGCTGCTGAGAGGGATCCTGGGAAATGACGCTGTCTCCTGTTCTCCTTTTCCCCCCTTCCGTATTGTGTTGGTCCGTCCACGCGCGTGTTCGAGCCCTCGTTATTATTCTCTTTTCTCTGTCTTTCTCTGCACGTCGATTTTCCCTTGGAGAATTCATATACGTAGTGTTGATGGCGAGGGAGCACTGCTATCGCGTAATTTATGAATCTAAATCAGTGAAGATTTATGTGCAATGTTTACTCTCACTACCAACGTTTATCTTGACGTTTCTTTTGCTCGCCCAACCACTAAAGTTGAACCAGATTGATACTTTTTTTATTCCAAACTAATAACTGTAACTCTGGTACCGTATACCAGAGGTGGACTATACATAAGAAATTAGTGATGTAATTTTAAGTATCATTCTGATTCAGAGCGTATACTTATTGTATCAGTTGATTGATTTCAAGTGGATAATATTTTCTCGATTCTCCACGATACGTAGTGATACGCTTTTTTGACGCGAGAAAATGAGAACATTCCAGTAAATCTACCCCCTTTTGCTGGAAAATCAATGGAAAAGATGAAAAATTTAATAATTTTTTGAAACAAACATTGTCGGATTAAAACGACGTGATTAGGTTATCCATTGATTCTCAGTGACCAAATTAACACTCGTTCAAAAAGCAAACATCCACTTTGAATCAGTATACTTGTCCATTGATTTAAATCGGGGAAATACGTGCTTAAATAAACTTTTAAAATTCAACGCGATACTTTGCGCCGGAGTCAATGAACCTGCCATAAAAAGCTCGCGTGACTTGTCAAAAATCACGCAGAGACCATCACCAACGTCCGCGTCCGAAGCTCGGAAAGCCAGCCAATTATCATAACAGCTCGTATATATACGGTGTAACAAAGCATCCGGTAGTCGTGTACACACGTGGTAACGCTCCCACCCGTGGGCTCTGGTTAAACCGCCTCGAGGCTCGCGTCATCCACCTCCTCCGGTCCCTTTGAAGTGCTCGCGATAGTCGTCAAAAGTCCCAAGCTTATACGTATACACTCCCACCCACCCTATAGTCCGTACGTATTCAAGCAAATAAACCAAATAATATATGCCACCTACCATCGTACGAAATTCTTCGCCGAAGCCAAGGAAACAATATTTCTCCCTCTTCCAAAGCACTCCATGTTATAATATTACGCAGGTATACGCCAGAGTGTTCCACGCGTATCGGGCCGTTTCAACTTTAACGAGGGCTCCATCCGAGTATTGGGTGTATTATATTCGTCCTATCGAGAGTGTATAAGCGCGTATGTATATGTGTATACGCATACGTATCGGATGTATCGCGCGTTATTCCAAATGGGGCGCTTTATATTGGTGAAATGGATTATAGAGGCGGGAGGGGTGATGAATTCTTTAATATCGAGCGATTCTCAAGAAGGCGGGCGGTAGTCACCTGATGGGGAATTTACGAATCCCGGGATTGGACCATCGGACGGTACGTATTGAATATTTTATGGAGCTTCGTGTACGGTGATATTCGTACTTTATGCATTACCGAGAATTTCCGAAATCGAGCCGAATATAATCAAGCCTGGATATATACGTGTAGCGATTGAACTCGGACTACATGGACGTTTGCGGATGACAATATTAACAACAAAGTACCTTTGAAAAGGATGTTTTTCATACATGTGAGCCCCTACTCTTGTTTTGTGGATATTGGTCCAGCAAAAGCATAGCGAGTTTTTGATGCAATTCCATTTAATTGATAGTCAAACAAACACACATCACCATTCCCATGTACCCAACTCTCCGATCGATCCTTCCAAAGTCCGGTCCTCATTACGCATGCAGACCTCACACGTGCCGTGTCGGAGACTCCCTGCAATGTCCGATTCCGGCAAGCAAGCGAGACACATCATCCCCAAGAGGCGAATAACGAGAAAACGCTGTCTGTCTTTGGTTACAGGATGGCATGGCTGGCTCGGGGTATAGGCCCCAGTCGCGTCTCACTGGTTACGGCGAGGAGCAACAGCAACAGCAACCGCAAAGCAACCATCAGCAGCAGAATCAGAGCCAGCAGCCGAGGCCTCAGTCGCGACTGGCGGGCATCTACGGTACGGATTCCCGGTGCCCGAGTCGCATGGGCATTATCGGCTACGATGACTCTGGTGGGGGTGGTGGAGGTGGAGGAGGCGGTGGTAGTGGTAACGGTGGTGTCGGTGGTGTTAGTGTTGGTGGAGTGGGTGTCGGTGGTGGTGGTGGTGGTGGTGGTGGTGGTAGCTATCTGGCCCAGTCGGACCCGAGACTGTACTGTCCGGACGGCTACTGCATGGGCGACACGATGATGGGTCGCGGCATTTGCGGTGAGGAGCTCGAGCTCGACATGCGCAGGCACATACAGGCTTGCGCGTGCACCTGCAGCCACATGGGCTTCGGAAACTACATGGACTATCAGGTGAGTTTATTCGTCACATTTTCTTAGCTTAATAATGTTTTACTTGTGCATATGGAGTTGTTCATATATGATTGATCTAAGGCTGGGTCAATAATGTAGTACTCGAAGCGTCATAGACGCCACCCTGGCCATGAAGAAAACTATAAAACATGCTCCTCAAGTATTTTTGCGTGCCGTTGCTTCAAAAATACAAGTGTCATAAAATTTTGTGGTGTATCGTTTGAAAAAGCTAAGTACAATCCTTACATCGATGCAAAAATAGTATGCTAAAACATAATTCAGATATATTTGTACTCATTGATTGACAGCAATTGATAAAATCATAAACTAAGAAATGTAGTGTGTCTCTACTCACTTGTACTTCATAATCTTTGATACTGCAAAAAAAAAAAAAAAAAAAAAAGATTGAATGATGCAGATACGCTTTTACTTATGCACTAAAAAGTAATAATGTATCACACGCTGATTAATAAAGATGAAAACTACACTATCAATGCATCAAACCGTAAATATTGATATTATAGCTGTAGCAACAAATCCCTGCGATGTATAACACACAAAATGTCACTGCCTACTAAATTAAGTAGAAACATCCGAGTGAGGTCAGACGCGTCATTGACGAAAGGTAAAACTAAAGTGACCTAACATAGTAACACTACTGAGGGCACTTAGCACTTTGGAGAAGGAAGGGAAGAGGGATGGGGGCCTTCCAGTACTGGGAGAGGGGTAGGGGGAAATTAGGCAATTATGCTGCGAGAAGGTCGCCAAAACCCTCCTCGAAGAGCATTGCGTGGTGAAAAAGCACATGTAAAATATCACAGAGGTACTTGCCCGAAAAAGTCGCACTGGCCGGGAATCGACCCACGGTCTCCCGCGTGTCAATCCACGACCTAGCCGACTGAGCCACCACCCGCTTCATCTATACACATAATAAAAGAATAAATATACATTATCATTCGTATAAAAAATGAAAATTCCAATCAGTACAGAAGCAAATTTATCCCAGTATCGATAAATGGCAAACAAGTTTGAAGTAAAAATTCTACTTTCATCCAACAATAAATTCAATAGGCTCACGAAAACCTCAATAACAAACGAGTAGTGATCCCCGTCACTATACTTATACTTTATAATTCTTTGCTACTGCAAAAAAAAAAAAAAAAAAAGGCAATGTATTACCGCATTAAAGGAATAAAAAGAAACTCCCAAGACCCAAAAAATTATTATCCTGGAAAAATGATTCCACAAAGCCTGACTCACAGAAGTAGAGCATCTCAAAGCAGCAAGAAATCATAATTTCGCTTAACACCGGCCATCCAACTTATCCACAAAGACACCCTTTGCTTTTTCCGTCGCGTCTCATCTTCCGTGTATATATGCATTTCACGCTTGACTTTGAAGCTTCGCACAAAGGTTGGAAAAGCCACGACCAAAAAGAAAAAAGACACCACTCCCTTCGCAAGACGTCACGTATATACTCTACTATTTTTTTTCTTCTCCGACACACGGCACGTATCTCTCCGAGCGCTGTTTTCACTCGGCTCCACGCGGGATGTTCAAATATTGCGCGCCTGTAATTACGGTCCCTAGAGCACACAGCGCAAAACTCAACAGGTAAGTACACCCGAGCTTTTTATTTTGGCTAATTACGTTGAGTGATACCATCCTCTTATCTCCTAGGATTATTCATGCTGTGGGTGTAAACGGACCGAGTGCGTAAACTGCGAGTGGGAGTATTAAAAAAAAGAAAAAAAAAATTACATTCAGTTTGTGCGTAAAGTAGTATGCACCAGCACCAGTTAGGTCTTTAAGAAACACGTAAGGATTTTTTTACCTGCAGTTTACTACACGGGAATAATTGAAAAATACTACGAGTCTCCGTCAAGGGACGAAGAAAGGCGAATTAAAGGGTCACTGTTTATAATCACTCATATATATTGAAAGGGGGTGTATATACGTGTATACTGTTACAGGAGCATAAAATAAAGTCTACAACAGGAAGCCCAGCAAAGTAAGCGATAAAAAGGGAATAGGGAAGCGCTGGGAAAGTATAGACTACTCGAGACAATCGTAATGGATTCGGAGGAAATGGAATGCATTAGAGTGCGTTCGTAAGACTCGGAAGGGAAAAGGATGAGAAAAAAAAGGGACGGAAAAAGGAATGAAGACCTCTGACACAAAATAAATACTAGGGACAAAAAAAGAGTTTGCAGTGTCGAGTTTCAACGCGATCGACTATCACATCCGCGCGCTTTCGACTCTTTCGCACTACGTGCGTATTTTTTCCTCATCGCGATGCTTGGATTATACAACCACGATTGGCATACACAGTACCCAAGCGAGAGCGCGTGTAATTAATTTCTTAGTTTTTAAAATCGAAGCAACGATCAGATTGCGGCATATTTGCTCGGAAAAGCTGTTTCCAGTGAAACGAGAGCAGCGTTACGTGCATGTCATTTATACGGGGCGCGCCTCCCGTTTTGATTACAACTGCGGTGTTGCCCTGCGGGCTGATTTTGCATGTACAGGTTTCGTGTGGATGTTGAACGGAATTACGTGGAAGTGGATCATTTTTAGGTTCTAACGAGCAGGGATTGGAGAGCTTGTGATAATCGTGCCAAGATTCGTAAAACTTTTTGTTCAGAAATTCAATCGTGAACTTTGCGTGTAGTGAATGACGATGGGAATTAAGCATCAAAATGGCGAGTTGTGCTCCCGATAGGTAATCGATATTTGAACAGCTTTTAGCTGCAGTGGAAACGCTCGTATGGTTTGTTGTTGATTGCACTCAAAGTGTACGAGGATCAGTAAATGTTTTATTTTCTTGCGCCAACTGTTTGTTTCAACGTGGATGATATTTGACGTTAGATTCATATGTGCCAACAACAGTAGAAGGGCGTAATGTGTAATGTGCGTAAATTGCAAATCCAAGTGTGTTATTTCAACTCACACCAAGTACATAAAGTTATAACATTTTTTTACAGACTTGCATCACTCTTGAAATGAGAGAAATAAACTATTTTTACAGATTAATAAAATATTACACATACAAACATGTGAAATTACTTGCATACAAAAAGTGAGATGAAACAACACACTTGGACTTATAGTTACATCCAGACATCGAAGTTAAAAAAAAATTTTTGTTCACAACTGTAAAGATGAAGTAATGAAAATGTGATTAAAAAAAAGTCAAGCTACCAACTGTACATCAAAATAAACAATGTATCTCAAACCTTAGTTATCGCAAACCAATGGTACCTACATTTTAAGACAAACGTCCAATCCATCTTCAGTAGATGCCACAGAAGCGATCCGTGAGAGGTGAGTTTGATTTTTTATCTACTAGTGACACGATAAGTCGCTTTGTGTTTTTTCTTGCTGCAAAATTTCCAAACGAAAGGATTTAAAGGTAAAAATTAACGATATCGAGCTGCAAATCACGCGCCAGCGTTCACTGTTGGGAATGAAGGATCGAGCAATCAAAAGGAAATTCTTAAAAATCACAAAACAATCCCGGGGATCATACATCAAACGGATAAGCGCTTTTAAAAATCCAGACGCGTTAATCCGCGAGCAGGGTATCAAGAGAGAGAGAGAGATCAATAACCCGTCGAAACGTCAAATGCCGGGGCACACTAGAGTAGAGGCAGACGCCGATGCTCGCACGTACACGCCCGTGCACTCTCGTGCGCCAAAGGGAGAGAGAAGATTGGCTCGGAGGGGCAGAAAAGTGGACGGTGAATCCCATTATTTGCGCTTCTCTCTCCTCCATCCATCAAATCGCCACGCGGGCACTGAATGATTAACAAGCTCTGCTGCCGTTGGAAAAAATTTTTCGCAAAGGATTCGCGGTGTGATTAAATATTTTCTTTTTTCCCCTTCCATCAAACTGCAAACGAGAATGTCAAATGCGTCGAAAATTCAGAGAGCGTCTATTGATTTTGCCCTTTTGACACCGAGTTGCATTAATTTCTCTCATCGGAAAATCCGTGCCACCGTCATTAAAAAAGTTCAATGAACAGCTTGTATTTTTCCTTGTTTTTGCAAAAGTTTTGTTTTGCATCTGTCGAATAATGCTTTTTTTCCCATTGTTTCGTGCACCAGGTCCAATTAAAAATCTCTTTAATTGGCCATCCGTCATTCTTTGCCTCGGGCTGTGCTAGTTTGTCCGTCAATGTTTTGCTTTGTCACCAGCGTTGAATATTCGCTGGGAAAAGTAAGTTAATTAGTTCGTTCTCTCAACGGACTTGGTCACAGCAAGATCGTACGACTCTGTGAATTTATCGACAAAATATATATTTTTTCGTGTTTTTTCAATTTTAGTAGATTACTCATTAACTTAAATATTTTTGAATGGATTTAGATTTATTTTTTACTCACCCAATCACAAAACTGGCTTTGTCTACTGTGACTTTATCCTTAAATTGTGTTTGAAAAATCTGAAGAGAGTAAATATTTTTAATAAATACGAGAGTAAATATTCCCTTACAAATAATTTAAACATCACTCAAATATGTGCTTTTTCGAAAACTATCTTGCACAGCCCACTCAATTGAGTATTTATTGTGTTACTATGTATACCTAGACAATAGAATATCTGTAAACACTTATTATTTTGCGTTATGTCTCAAGAAACAACTAACGATACAATACAATAAGTTAGAAACGAGAGATACACAGCATAAAAAAAAATGGATACTAACAACGGTTGCATCAATATTTTTATTACTATTATTATCGTAAACGTAATTTGTGCAATTTAATTCATTAACAGTAGAACTAAGCTGATGTCGACATGCAGAGACACAAAAACTACCCCAGTTAGCATTACTATATAACAATTAAAGGAGTACTTGTTGGAAATTCATATATTGTCTGTATAATAACTTTAAAAAAGAAATTGAAAAAAAAAGAGAGAAAAGTATTATTTATTGTTTCAAAGACATTTTCGTTAGTCTTCGCTTGCTCTCATGACGATCATTTTCATGGGGCATCCATAAAACTCCTCAGAGATAACGATCCTTCAAGCAAGAACATCATTTTCCCTCGATTTTTTCCAAACACGTACGTATACGTCGTACATTCCATCGTTCCTTGCTCACCACGTTGTATATGCACCCATACGTACATCTATACAAGACTGGCAGGCTTGCAGTCGAACTCGCGTATACGGCAGGTACAGAGGCCAGCTCGCACGTGTGTAGATACGTGTTGGCGTTCGCGCGTCAAGGTGATTATATACCCCAGAGTGGGAGAGGGGAAAGAGAGAAACTAGGCTACCACCGCGCTGAACCGGAAATAATCGCGCCTCACGGCTGGGATAACCGGGGGGAGAGAAAAGCCGTGCACCGTCGCGTCGGTGGCGTCCGGTCGCCTCATTCATGCCTCGGGCTTCGATGCTACGGTGTGTGCACGCGTGCTGTGTGCGAGGGGTGTGGGTGGGTGGTTGGCGCTGAAATCAGCTTTGGCGCGTGAGTTCGCAGGGGACATATCACACGTAGGTAGGGCTCATTTGTTGATGCTCGTCGATGCACTCTCTATGTATTATTCCTCTCTTGCCTTCCGTCTGTCTCCGCGGACGTCGAGGCTTCATAGTTTGGGGTTAATGAGGTGCGGCAGGTGATTCAACTGTTCTTTATGTCTGGTTTTTATCGTGGCTTTTTGAGAGGGTACTATTTTTTTACTTTAATTAAATCATTGATGCGTGAGCCATTACATTGAATATACGTTTAATCTATTTGTACCTACGGGGAGGAAAATAATTTGTTTCTTTTTTTTCTTTTTTTTTTTTTTTCAAAATACCATGTGCAACCGATGCAATCTGACTATTGATTTTTTACTTGAAACACAAACAATACAAACTGCTCTTGAAACGCATGAAATATGGAAGCACGGGGCCGATAACATGCGAGTCGTAAATGTTGAAAATATTCCACGCAAAGTTCAATTTTATTTTTATAATTTTCAATACTACTTATGAATTTTTTGATCCTATTGGACGATTGTAATCAAATATATCACACACAAACCAAATTGTTTGGTAAAAAGTAGAGGCACAATGAAATAAGCGAACAGTGAGAAGAAAAAGGTTTATTTTTATCATTTCCACATAAATTTTCAATGCCTCGTCCTGCAAGCACCCTACCACGGCTCATCTTGTAAACTTGTGACCTACATCGATGTTAAAAACTGCACGTGCACACACGAGCATTCACAAACGTACACGCCTCCAGAAAAAAAGTGAGCCACAGGCAGGAAGAAAGAACACGAAACGATAATTCCGTAATCTGGAGCAGCACTTTTTTTTACTCCCTTAACCTTCCAGTTCTCACATCTTCTTTCAAACTTTAAATTGCAAAAGTTGCACGGAAAGAAGTGAAATCTTTCGAATAGACGCGGAAAAACAGTACAAATTCAAAAAATATATGTTGCAGGAATACATTTTTCGTTGCGAACAGAAATGGAAAAAAAAAAATGTGTAAAATACACGTACAACTCCAATCCTTCCATACCTCCTCAAATGCCTTCATCTACTTCTACGTCGCTGGCTCGTCTTTTCATCGCGCGATCATTTTTCCCCTTTTTGTGTACACGTATGTATATTTGTACGTGCATTTTCGCACAAAAGATATTCCACGCAACCGACGAAGGAGAAGACGCATTCCTACGTATGAAAAGACGACAAAGCATCAAGACCACGGCACGTGAAGGCAAAAAAAATGCAGGCAGCTCCGGTTCGGTGAACAATGGTCTTCCCAAGAGAGAATAAGAGATAAAAAAATTAATTGTGTACATTTTCACGGAGTGAATGTTTTATTCGACAGAAAATGGGTTGATTCGTTTTTGACGCTATTAATTGATGATTCTTGTGAGCTTCAAGGAAAGAGTCTTTGCCGTCACCTTCGTTATTTCCTCTGTGGGTTCTGTTTGATACTTTTGTAAACGATATTTTTACTCACTCGAGGTTTAGGTACCATTACGAGGATCACAAAAACGTGCTTAAAGTCCAACACATCCTTTGTCCTTGCGTATGGCTGAAAAATCTGTGCACTCATGATTTCTCCAAGGGCCGGACTTTTATTTCTGCTATTCGGCTTTTGCAAGCTCAATATAGATATCAGAAAATAACCACTTCATGAAACATTCTTGTACTTCTTAAACGTTACTTTTCATTAAATGTACAAGTACGTGCCTGGCAATGATGTAGTGCAATCATTTGCAAGAATTAAACATCAAAACTAGCTCAGTTTCATTTGGTTTAGTATTAAAAAAAAGGACAACCGTCACTGTACAAAAGATTTGAAAACTTACCATTTCACCACCTTTTTGGTACTAAAGAGCAATCACGGTATCGTCATGAGAGCGTAATTCCAACAACTGAAACAAAACATTGTGCGACTATGTCTCAGACTCATTGCTTCCACAACGTTTCGAAATGCCCTCACAACAATTATGTACAGAGTAAGTAAACGTACAGATGAGAGAGGAGTGTATGTAAAACACTGTTATTTTACTCATGGCGTGTCAGTGAAGAGGAGGGCTGGTGGTGCTGAGTGTCACTTTAGCTTAAACACAAGATGAAACTGGTCGAACGGAAGAAAAGACAGGCAAATGACATCCTTGAAGTTCGTCGTTCTTGTCGTAGTTGTCCTCACTGTCCCTCTGGATGTACATCAAATAAGTTGGATTTATGTTAGAGTACTAGGTTCATCATAAAACTGTGCTTTTCACTCTTAGAATCAGTATTATTGAAAAAAACCAGTTATTCGTAAGTTAATGAAACACAATTGATTACTGAATTATTGTTTACTTAAATAAAGTCCTTGAAAAAGTTACGAAGGATATTATTAATTGTTCTTCTTGTGTAACGATACACAAGTGCAATGATTTGAATAAAACAGCTCGATAATACTAACAAAAAAATAAATTATTTGCATCAAAAATAAATTTATAAAATCGTTTACATGAACATAAAGTATATATACCATGGAAAATCAAAAGGATATTCGATCGTCAGGAGTGGAATTATTATGCCATGCCTTACTGGTAAACAAACTATTACAAGACAGAGTAACAGGATAAGCGTTTATTTAGCAAGAAAAAGAGAAAAAACAGAATAAAAAATAATTCCAACAATATGGTTAAACGTCGACTCCCGCTTCACCTTTACGAGTGATGTATTTACATTGCGCGTGTAATAATATAACGCAATTAGCGATAATTGCATCTCCGCTCTTCCTTCTCTTCCATCCCTTGCTCCGCAGCTCCTTCAATTCCCTACCAACGCCCCCCCCCTCTCTAGGTGCTACAGCGTTATTAATTGCA